AACGCTTGCGTTGTGTTTCGTCGTGTGACTGAGGTTACCGGAGGCCCAGCTCCCTCCCCCCTTCCCCAATCTCCCCAATCCCCGAATCCCCAACAATCCTTAAACTCCTAATCCCCAAAAGGCCGGTAACGCACTTGTAACGCTTCGGTGTTCAAGGTGTCCATGGGCAGCGCCGATTGCTTACCATCAGGTGATCCGTCTGCACATTACCGGCTTCTGCCAAAAAAAAAAATCTACCCCTGTTCCAATTTGATCCCGATCGCTTCAGCCGTTTTGACATAAAGGAGTAACAAATAAACATACAAACATTCGCATTTGTAGTATTAGTAGTATTGGTGGTTATTTGGAGAAGATAGAGTTCCAGTTATTACTCAATTCTTGTGTATATTATCTTTATGTATGTGATTGTGGAAAAGCTCCCAGTACGCTTCCTTCCTGTCTGGTTCGTCATAAACAATGATATAGAAATCAATGATTTGATTTTATTAATAAGATCTTCATTCAATTGCAAGGAAAAACTACTGACGCCTACCCATAATTAATAACTAAATAGACGTATTTTTTTAGGGTTCCCCCCTTCATCATAATCATCTAATGACTTCTCCCGCCTAGGTGAGGCAGGAGGGTGTGTCTTCCTACATATAAATAAGTGTATCTATGTGAAGTGTTACTCATAAACGCAAAAACTACTGAACCGTTTAAGATAAAATTAGGCATACGGCATACTGGTAAACCACAGTTACCATTTTACTACATTAATTGCGATAACGTTAACGAACAATGTTAATTATAAACGCTAAGTACAATAATATTTACAATATTTATGTTGATACTACATAGTACATACAACTTCATAGTTATATTCAAAAACAGTTTTTATTTCATTGGCTATAGGTGTTCATTTGCCTTGTATAGTGTGACTAGTGGTGTTTAAGTTGTTATCTGATCATCTGGCAGTAGCCATGAATGATAAGATAATTGCATGGTGATTTGTCATACTAGTGGCCTGTGACCATATCCTGTCAGGAAACAATAGGCATTGTTTTCTCCACGATTGAAATGTGAGGCCATTGTTCATAGGGTTATTTTGATTTTCTAGCGAATTTATTTGGCTTTGCCGGTTTTTGTATAGAGAATAGTACATCCAGATGTTATGTCTAAGTTGAATTTCCGTCTGTTATTTTAAGCTTCCTATAATAAGGAGACGTTCGACTAAATTAATACGTTTATCAGACCACTATAAGTACCAGAATTTGTGTTTTTATAACAATAAGTTTCATATATTAGAAAGTACAGAATACGGTAGATGACTAATTTTTATTTTAATGTCCGTCTGGTAGATTATTTTAAAAAATTGGATTTTTTTTACAGAAACGAATACTTTCGATGATATATTGATTTGAAATGTCGCGTGACGTCACTTCTATGAACATTTTATACGTAGAAATGACGTTTTAGCCCCCACTCCTAAACTTTGATTCGTTTTATCTAAGTATCATTTTATTATACGACAAAATAAAAAATACGTGTCTAATATTTTTCATTACCTAACTGACGGACTAATTTAATTTTTAATTTTCATACCGTAGCATCATCCCTATTATGTCTTGGTAAAGTTATACAAACTTTTATAGCCACGTTTCAATTATGATATCGATTTTTTTGTCATGTAGGTTGACGATTTGAATACTTGAGTTGTCAGTAGCAACCAATTACTAACAGATAATCTGCTGGTCTTAGAAACAATTAAACAGAGTTACAACGTAGTAACGATTTTAGTTCGAAAATAATTGTTAATGACTGGGCTAAGTTAAGCTCACAGAATACCGACGTAAAACAATGATTGCGTTGTGTTTCGTCGTGTGGGTGAGGTCACCGGAGGCACAATTACCTCCCCAGTCTCCCCAATCCCCGAATCCTCCACAATCCTCAAATTCTCAATTCCCAAAAGGCCGGTAACGCACTTGTAACGCTTTGGTGTTTCAGGTGACTATGGGCGGCGCCGATTACTTAACATCAGGTGATCCGTCTGCTCGTTTTTCTTTGCCATGTATGCATTTCCTTAAGGGTATAATCCGGGTGTCTTTAAGGCCCGTGTGAATAGGTTGCTTTTAGGACAACGAGATCCATCCTAGACCGCATCATCGCTTACCACAAGGCGAGATAGTGGTTAAACGTCGGCCTATCAAATAAGAAAAAAAAACCGAACTCAAACCCCTATTTTTGCAGTCTGTTAATTAATATACTAAAAGAGCAACAACCACTTTTTTGAAAACCGCATCAAATACGGTTCAGCGTTCAGCCAATCGCGCAAAAGCGAGATAATCGCTCAAAATTTACACATAAAAGTCAAAGAACCTTCTTTTTTGAAGTCGGTTAAAAATAATCTGTGTTTTCGGTTTCGTTTACACCCTGCATAGTTAGATAAGATAGATTTATGTTAATATAGGATTACCTGAGTAACTTCAGTGCTGGTCAGCAGTTTGAGATAGCTCGTGTCGATCGCCCACTGGATACGCATGAACGTCTCGTATTTTATACCTAGTGAATATAAAATAATGAAAATACATTTAGTATTTAGTATTTAAACAGTATTTTTAGTGTATTAATGTGTGTGAAGCTATACAGGGCTGGGATAGATAAAAACAAATTCAATAAGGGGAATTTTAACTTAAAAACGGTAAAAGCTGAAAGTAATTCCAAACTTTTAAGTGTGTGAGAGACATGCTTCGGCACGAATGGGCCGGCTCGACCGGAGTGATACCACGGGCTCACAGAAAACCGACGTGAAGCAACGCTTGCGTTGTGTTTCGTCGTGTGAGTGAGGTTACCGGAGGTCCAATTACCCTCCCCTACTCCAATCTCCCCAATCCCTGAATCCCCAACGATCCTCAAACTCCTAATCCCCAAAAGGCCGGTAACGCACTTGTAACGCCTCTGGTGTTCCAAGGGGTCCATGAGCGACGCCGATTGCTTATCATCAGGAGATCCGTCTGCTCGTTTACCGGCTTATGCCATAAAAAAAACTAATCTCTATTGTACCGATTATACGTCATAAGCTTAACCGACCTACAGACCTACAAATATTCATTTTTGGAGACGACCGAGCAGTGATTCAAATATCTCATTTCCACATTGCACGGTGTACCATTACTGACTCGAATATATATAAAAATGAAACCAGTTTCCCGTTGTCACGCCATAACTTGAGAACGGCTAGACTGATTTGGCTGATTTTTTTTTCTTGTGTTTATTATTGTCAGGAGAAGGCTCTTATGACAGAAAAAAAGTCCTGAAAATGCTACGGGAACGGGTGAGAACGAGATTGCGCGTACGAAGTCGCGGGCAGAAGCTAGTAGAATTTAGATATGCTAACTTACAACTTGTTTTGAAAAGGTTTTATTTAACCTGCGCCGTTTGTTTGCAGTCTAAAGTACTTGGATTTTTACCTCCTAGAAACAGATTGGCCTGATTCTGATTAATTGGTGACCATACAACATTAGAATCTATTTTAATTTCACAATAACTTCTATTATGGATGTCAAACAAAATGGCTAGATTAGTGGAAAATATATTTAACTAGCTTTTACCCGCAGCTTCGCTCGCGTCACAAAAGGATAAAAAGTAGCCTATGTGACATATACCAATACGCACAGCACCATTTATACCAATAATTTAATTTTCCCTCGAGAATATAATTTTATTCCAGGATAAAAATTACCCTATTATTTAATCCAGACTTCTAACTTAAAGTCTGCAAATATTCAAAGAAATCGGTTTAGTAGTTACAGCGTGAAAGCGGAACAAACAAACAAACTCACTTTCCGATTTATAATATTAGTAAGGATTTATTACTAATTTGAATTCGGTTAAAAAGTGTAATTATAATATATCAAAGACGACGTCTTACCAAACATTCTATGTGGTCCAGGATTAACATCGAGGCTCTCGTACGAGTTGATCCCGAAGTCGTCCTTTATTCGTATCGTGTAGTTCAGTCTATCTGGCCATGTCTCACCGGACATTTTCTGATTGGACAACACATTGCTTATAATTATAAGTACATTTATTGCTACAATACATTTCTTGTA